GCTCAGATATTCTGTCATCTAGTGAGCTCTGGAAGTTCTGAGATTCTATTTATTGTTGCTGTGGCTATGGATCTCAGGTTGTGTTGCTTCAGAATAGTGGAACAAGTAGGTAAGTCCATGAAAAGTCTGCTCTCAGGTAAAATTTTTTTTCCCATATAGAAGCATAAATCTTAGCCCCTCTCCATCTCTCCCTGCTCCTTACAATCTTATTCCCATAACGTCTATATCTCATATCAATTGCTTTGGTTAGGGGCATATTTTTTTGACATCTTAGATCAAGACTCTCACTGGCTCTGCTCATCATTCAATCCGCACTGCAAGTCACCCTCCTGCCTGTTGTGTGCTCTTGGGGAAAACCAGTCAACTGTAGGAGGGGATTGCGCATGGTTCACATTGTGTGTGCTGAACTTGATAGTGGCTATGGGACTGACAGATTTTCAAGACAGAGGTTATGTTGTTCAATGAAGCTGAACAGCTCTGAGATAGATTTATTGTTTAAGAGCATCCCTGGGAACGTCATCCTGGTCTGATTATGTGTCACCCGCTCATGCAGTATGGGCGGGATGGCCATCTGACATCAAATGCAGTGGGCAGGGAGTCAGGGAGAGCTCCAGGGTAACTGTTCTGAAGGGTCTGGTGTCAGGGATCACTAATTGTTCTGACTTTCCTTTCCAAATGACGGAGTTGCAGTCTTGGTTAATGAAGTACTTTCCTTCAATCTTTGAAGTAAAGAGCATGGTTAAATGATTAAAGAAGCAGTAGAATTAGTTCAGCATCACCTTTCTCTGGTTCCCACTCTAGGAGAAAGGATGCTACGTCTTTCCACCCATCTCAAGTGGGCAGGGAGGAAGCAGCTTTTGCCTTTTAAGCTAACTGAAGAGGCAGGCATACAGCACTCTCTAAGGGGAAGGAGATGGAAAGGAGTCTTTGAGGAGGAGGAAGGTGCGAATATGACACAGCACAGCCTGCTGTGAACTCACAGTCCATGGAGAAGACAGACAAGCAAACAAAACTTTGAGAGCGTAAATAGAAGTCTGCACAGGGTCCCAAAGAGAGCAGATGGACACACTACCAGACTGAGGGTTTTGAATTATTTCTTCAAAGAGTTGTTTTTACAGCTAACTGTTGGTGGAAATGCAGTAGTTATAAAGTCTCAGAAGGGCGGGTTCCAGACAGAGAGAACAACATTTGCAAAGACTGAGGAAGCATATGAGTTCTGAGATTCTATTTTATGATTTTCATTTTGTGAGCTCTCTTAAATCAATGTAAAGATATTTTGTGATCTGACCAAATCCCTGCCCTCCTATCATCTGCCAAGTACTCACTCTCCTGACACACTTGAGTCCCTCAGTGGGGGACAGATGTTGGCAGATACTCAGTCCCACTGAAAATGGATTTCACAGAACTCTTCTGAAATTTAAACACCATCCCAGGAATAAGGGAGGAGAGAGGCTGAGTTCATCTGGAATGTTTACCTGAAGACCCTGAGAAGCACTGGATTGAAAGGAGTTTTTCCAGAAATGGCCAGACTTCACTTGGTGAGAGGCAACCTGGAGATAAAAACTGAGTTCCCTCTGAGATGAGTTTTGCAAATGTGAATGTGTGGTTCCTTTGATTTGTACTCATGATACATGCTTCTCTGCCAGGTTTCTGTTCTTGCAACTTAGAGGCTCACAGGTCACTCCAGTTGAACTGGGCTAATTGGGCTGCACAAAATAACCACACAAGAGACACAAATACCTTTTTCTTTGGGGTTGCTCTGAAGGCTCCTCCAAAGAAAGAGAGCAAGAGCACGCGCTGACCCCTTTTATTGAGGAGAAGCTATTCAAATGAGGCAAAGGGTCAGGTTTCAGGGGGCTGAGTCTATCTTCATGGTGTCCACTGTCAGCAGGTTGACTGACACCTGGGTAGGCCACACCCAAGGGCACAGTAAGAGGAGGGGACACACACAAGGCACTTCCATGGAAGATCCTATCCTAAACAGGGCAAGGGGTTATATTACAAAGGAACAGGTGAGCATAGCTCCACCCATGGGGCTGTAGCAAGACACACCCATGCACTGACCCTCGAACCCAAGAAGGGTGGGGAAAGCTCTGCCACATTTCTGCGCCTGAGCACCTCAGCACCCAGCTGGGGAGTGTGACTCAGTCACATACAAGGTTGGTCTTCCACACTTCTCATAGATTATTATTTTAAAACGTTTGAACCCCAAAAAGTTACTTGTTAAAAAGACTCATTGAATTTCAATGTGAATTAAAATGGAAAGAAACTTATCATTTAAAAAGCTGAAAAAATTGAGACCTGGTCATTGACCCAGACACTGATACGACTTTTTAAGGTCACACAGTAGATGAGGAGCTAATAATCTTCTGAATAAACTTTCTTCCATCAATCCTGAAAGCCTGAAATGTTTACTTGTATTTTTAAGAGAGAAGGTAAGCCTTAAGAAAAGCTAATCATAAGTGACAAAAAAAAAAATAGAGTTACAAAAAGTGTAATATGCAAGGAAGGGGATAATTTTTTAGTTATTTTGTGGACAGAGAACCACAGTTAGTTGGGTACAGTGGCATTATGGAAAATTAAAACATCAATAGATAAGTCCAAAACTTCATTTCTTTTTTTAAAAAAAAAAAATTTAGTTGCTGATGGACCTTTATGAGGATCGAACCCAGCACCTTGAAAGTGCTAGACGAGCACTCTATCACTGAGCCACAACCCCAGCCCCTCACTGTATTTCTTTAATCTCATACTATATATAGTAAGTTACTATATATAGTATTTTTGTTGTTGTTGTTCTTTGCCTTTGTGGAGTTTTACCCTTGGATGTGTGTGTGTGTGTGTGTGTGTGTGTGTGTGTGTGTGTGTGTGTGAGAGAGAGAGAGAGAGAGAGAGAGAGAGAGAGAGAGAGAGAGAGAAATATGTTTGGATTAGAAGACCCCTGAGATACTAATTTTTTTCTCTGCATTACTCTACCTCAATGCCCATGATATAATGATTTGAAAAAAATTTTTGCCATGGAGTCCTATCTTCATAACCTTCAACTGTAAAATAAAATACTATTTAGAACAGAAAAGTGTTTTCTTCTAAGAGCTAATACTCATACTTGATGTGAACAAATGTATGATACAGTTAGAGTATTTATTTTATAAAACAATCATACTGAAGTAACATACAAGACACAAATATAATTAAAAATTTTAAGTGTCATTTTAATTTCCTATATTTATTTCTCTTATTGAAACAAGACTAATGAAGAGAGATGTGTATATTACTTTTATAATCTAAGACTTTACCGCTAGTTTTGGAAAAATCTAGCAAAAACCTGTTTCTATTAAAAAACAGCTTTAATATCTAATTATGTTTAAGGGAGTTATTCTTTAATAAAAATCCACTAACGGCACATTATTCATGAGGACAGTACAAATATATTAGACTGATATTTCTGTAAAATAGACATTTAAAGGTCCCTAGCCACATAGGAGATATTATTCAACAAACAAGTTGCAGTTATATTTTTGAAAAGCTTAACAAATGTTTTTATTTACAGCTGATATTTTTCCAAAATGCAAACTTAGTGACACTGAGATTATACAGTATGAGTTTATTTCCCCATAATTTTTAAGTTGGCCAGGAACTAAGGGGAGAGTAAAATAAGTCCTGGGTTAATAAAATAGTGGACAAAACACTTTAATCAAAATTTGATAAATCTATGAAACTTATCAAAATATTTTCCTTTACAGAGTTATAAGTATTTTTATTATCTTATTTCTAAATCCATAATAAGTCCAACTCTAGTGTGGCTTAGAAAGGATGCACAACATTTTATTATGTTTCCTTTTGCACTCAAATACAGTTAAAACAAAAGGGAATACAAATAGTATTCCCCTTGCAGAGGACTAGCTTAGTAATTAAATTCTTTTATACAACACTCTCTTTTTTTGTTATCATTTGCAAGTACAGTATACTGAACCCTTATTTCGTGTAAAATGAATCTGAGATGCTGCTATTAAGGTCTACACTAGAAACTAGAATTACAAAAAGTACAAGGAATGAGATATAGGGTAAATTTTCTTTTTTACAGTTTCTAAGTATGCTAAGTGATACTCTATTTTAATTTTCCTTAAAAACTCCACAACTTGAGGTTTGTTTTTTTTTTTTAATCCTTGGTCTGACATGATGATACCTAGAATATAATCCAGGTCCTCTTTATCAGTTGGCTATAAAGTGCATTTACTCCAGTTCAGGTATGATGGGTATTGACAACTTCTGACATGGAAGAGGGCTGAAGTAATATGAAAGCATTGAAGAGAGACCTTAAGAAACCACTCTGGTCTTCAAATAGTGTTAGCAGGAGTATGATCTAAAGATCTTATGGTGAGAGAGGAGTGTGAACCTTTTTTTTGGAGCAGGGGAGTACTGAACTCAGGAGCACTCAACCACTGAGCCACATACCCAGCCCTATTTTGTATTTTATTTAGAGACAGGGTCTCACTGAGTTGCTTAGCTCCTTGCTTTTGCTGAGGCTGGCTTTGAACTCACCCTCCTCCTGCCTCAGCCTCCCGAACCACTGGAATTACAGGCGTGCCCAGCCAGTGTTAACTTTTAGTCTTATTAGTTTTTATTCAGGTCCATTTACTCTGGAGAAATGACTTGTGAGTTCTTTGCAGGGAGGAATGCAATTTACTTTGTGAATTAATCACTCTAATGACATGTACACATTCAACATAGTAGATTTCCTGAAAGAGAATCATCTTTATTTCAAAAAGCACATTTACTCTTTTCTAAATTATATTCATGTTTTGTGTCAATATCAAAAACACACATAGCCAAAATTACCATAGCCAAAATTAAAGTTAAACCATTATTTGGAGAACACAGATCTTTTGAATATAATACAGTATATGAAATTTATAATTACAATTTTAGTAAAAGTCCACATTTATTCTTCTCCACTTTGGAAATATAGAGGATGAAATGGCAAATTTCTTATTTTTTCCCTAAATCAAAAATGGATATATTGGGATAGCTAAAATGTATGGATATGTTAAATGTATTATAATTCAAAGCACAGTAAAAATTTCTAAAACAAAAGTACTAAGTAGTACACTAAAAATGGAAATTGATATCTTACTGCTTCCCTGGATGATCGCATACTCAACGTTTACCCTGGATTTAGCAACTTTTAATATGAAATATTCATTATGCAAATTAAATAGAAATTTTTGATTTTCAAAGAATTTAGAGATATTTTACTGCTTTATCGATACTGCAAGAAATTCTGCAATAATGTTGGCAACTGGAGCTGTGGGATGAGATGTAATCTTGGTCTTCCTATGCAATTTCGGATACAGAGTCGGCAGAGTTGGCAGAGAGAACTTGGGGTAGCTACAAAAAGACATGAACATTTCTGTTAATTAAAAGACAAATGAGTTTTTATATATAGCAAGAGAGATGAAACAAAACCATAAGACACTATAAAGCTTATTAGGAAATGAAGATAGTATGACCAGCATACTAGGAAACTTTATGTAAGCATTTATGTTGCTTTTACTTATGAGATCTTGTAATTGAGATATATGCCATGCATGTTCATTAAAACATTATCATCTTCAATATTATGAAACAATCATTGCATTAAGAGCCTAAGAAAGAAATTGGCGTTTTTTTTTTTTTTTTAGGAGATATAAATCAAAAGCCACAAGAAGCATTATATACTAAAGGTGAAATTTAAAAATTATATATTTTCCCTCAAGTTATAAATATACATATAAAATCTTAAACTTAATATTTAAGCTAAAGTAAACTTTATTATAGTCTCTGAACCAGACTTAACAAATTCTGTTTAAAACAAGAGTCTTAAGTGTTAAAATCATTCCTTATTATGTTTCTTCAATATGTTACAGAAGGCATATGCCCTTATAAAACAGGGCATGTTTCCAAATATAAATTAACAGATATTATATCAGAATACATGTAATGCATTGTCAAAACAAGCTGAATATATTTAACTAGAGGAATATGAAGGTTTAGATATGATGAAAAAAGAATATTAAAATCATCATGCTATCTTCTTTGTAGACATATTGGAAATATTTCTACTTCCACAAAAAATGTTCCAAATTATACGCCATTATTATTTTACATGCCAACAAAAAGTCTTTCAATTTCATTTGTTTGGAGCAAATATACTTTTGTATTTATACATGTTCATGTTCACATCTGTCCTTACCTTCATGTTGAAGCAGTATTCTCTCTACCATACTGTTAGATGTAGATACATCTATAGGTCGCAGAAGCTCTGTATTTTTGGCATTGATATCTGCTCCAAATTCTAATAGTAAATTTACAATTTCTGTACTGGATTGTTGAGCAGCAGCATGTAATGGAGTATCCCAATATTTGCCTTTTTGTACATCAGCGCCTACATGTGAATAAGGAGTAATGACAAAAACAATAAAAAATTATTAGATGAGTTAATTCCTAAGTGGGGAAGAAAGAGAAAGTCTTTAAAGAGGGGGACAGAAGGGACCTCAAATTTGTAATGGCTTATGTTTTTATATATACATATATTATATATATTTTATATCTTCTTATCCTTGTATATGCACAAACATCTTTATATATACATATATTAATGTATATTATATATTTCTCATATATACATATAAAATCTTAAACTTAGTATATTTGGATGGGGAGGTACACGCCCACAGTATATTTTTCTCAAATTTTTTTGTATTCTTGAAAGATATCATAATAAAGAGATTTTAAATGATTCAAAAATTAATTGTATTAATTATTATAAACAGTACATGATTAAATGCATACATATCTATTTTCATGATAGATATAGCTCTTAAGATTATTCAAGGGCTTATTACATTTTTTTCTTTTCACTTATTTAAGGCAATAGAGGTCTTTGATTTCTTAGAAAACTCATGAATCTAGACAAGTGATCCATCTAGGTAAAATGGATATAGATTTTCCTGGTACTTTTCACTCACATAGATTTAATCAATAAATATATGAAGACACTAAGCCTCTCAAGTGGGAAAGCACATCAATGATATCTGCATGCATGTAATTTAAAAAAAAAAATACTCACACTAAAAAACCCAACCCTAAAATGTGAAATTATCTATTGCATAATTATTATATTCTGGTGTAGAGCCTGGCATATGGTGATCATTTAATGCATGTACAATAAATAAGTGATGTTTAAAATTCTAATATTATAATCCCATTTTCTGATACATAAATGGTTACAACACCAGGAAATGTCTACCAGTTAAAATGCATAAGTTCTTTTCAACTCTGTTTTCTGAAGCTGTTTGAAAAATTAATGATGTACATGGGAAACAGTAAATTTTCAGAGTTTCTTTATGGCCCTTCTGCTATTTTCAAATTTCAGTAGTTTTTAAAGCAAATATAAAACATTTAGTGGGAAAATTACATGCCATAGCAAAGTTTCTATAGAGAAAACAGACTCTTGGTTATAACAATCATAGGAGATAATAATAATCAATCAACAATTACTAACAGCACTTTCTTGATATTTTTAAGCCCATTATAAAATGTTCCTAGCCAAAAAAAAAAAAACAGGGATATTTTATTAAAGCACAAGTCCAATGGTTATACCAAATTTATGGGAGAACATGGCTAGAAAATAACAGTCTGCCAACTATCATTAACAAAACTCATGTTTAAGATTCTAGGTGTAATGAGAATAAAATAGTAGAAGCTGACTCAGCTTGTAAGATATTTATAAATAAGCTAAGATAATGTGAGTAATATATAAAAGATTTATTACTAAAATATTTCTGAATGTATTTAGGAGATCAAATGACTATCATAAAAATAGTAGCAAGAAATAAATCCATTTAGTTTTTTTTTTTTTTTTTTTTGGTATATTCTAAGCATCTACCACACGAGAGGGACCCTGCTAGATAGATGATGGGGGAGGGGACATAATCCACATCCTAATGGAGTCCTTTGGTGGTAGAGACCACTATGGTCTCAACAGAATAGGAATGTTTCTCAGAGGGCTACAACTGAACCTTGCGTCATTTCACATAAGTAGAAAAGAGTATTAATTCTTTTGGAGTAAACAGGACAAAACAAAGAGTCAGGGAAAAATGTGTGAGTTTTTATGGTTGGTAGAATATAAGGCCATCCAAGCAGTTACTATTCCTAAAATTTCTTTTCATGGATTTATTCACAGATATATACATACTCAGCAACATTATATTAAACCTTGAGGATCTTAATTTTATGATCTTTTATAAGGAGGGCTTTCAGGCTCCATTACATACCCAAATGTCAGTTAATGCTGTGTGTGTAAAATATAGATAGCATATTAATCTGTGAGCTTCAAAGTATTCTCATCAAGCGTGAGATTCTTTTATTGGTTATATACTTATAAGGGACTTATAGGGGAGAATGTTTGCAATGAAAATGTTATTAGCAATGAGACATAATTTTTAAAGATGTTTAGTTAGGAAAATAAATGCTTATGTAAGAAACAGAATGGAAAATGTTTTAAAGAAAAGTACCGGCATAAAGAAGTCTCCAGATGCAATGGAATTGCTGTGACATGCAAGCTACATAGAGAGGAGTTCCCAAATGAGGAACATTTTGGTCAACATCTACGCCCCAGGATATCAGTATGTCGAGACATTCATGGTGACCTGCCAACACAAAGAAGAGATGAGTTTACTTTAGCTTTCACTACTCTCCAACACATGTGCACCTCAACCCATGCGTCCCTTAAAATTTAATTTACTAAATGGTAAATGGAACACTGAATGTCAAGGAACTCTCTTCCCTTTTGACTTAATCCCCTAACTAAGTTACCTTTACTGGCAGCCTCATGTGTGGGAGATGGAAGACAGGACTCCAGCTGGGCCTTCGCACCATATTCCAAAAGAAGTTCTGTACAGCTGGCACTGCCTTGCGAGCATGCATTGAATAACGGAGTCACACCATCTATTGTGATTGCATTTACCTAAATCAAACCCAAAACCTAAGAATAAGATTTATGAATCATACATGACTGACTTAGTTATGCATTTTCAAGTTATGTGATTGCTAACCAAAGTAACTGGGAATCTGTGTGCTGTAAATATGACAAAGTATATTTAGTTCTTATAGATCGATAAGAACGCTTTAAAAATTCAAGAGGTAAATAAATAGAAAGACAATATGGCAGATAGTTCCCAGGAATAGATATACAACTAGTGAAAAGCATGAAAAAAAAATCTCAATTATTGAAAAAAAAGTAATTCAATGATTAGGTAAATTTCAGTGAGGGAAACAAATGAAGAAAAAAATGTAATGTTGATGAAAGTTGGGCTGAAGCCACTTTACTAGTGGTTGTTTAAAATGGTAAAATTGGTCATTCTATTTCTGAGAACTTATCTGAGGAAAATTATTCAAAAGATGAGCCATTGTTAGAGGCCTGAAGATAATCCTCTAGAGGCATGAAAGCAGAAAATAACCTAAAGAATATTCTATATTATTATGCCGCATGCCACTCATTCATAGGATTGTTGGAAGTCCTTTTGAGAGTGAAATGAGAAGGAAAACGCAATTCAAGGGCTTTATTTTTATTCTATTATTTTTGAAACTACTCAGAAAGAATGACAGAAAAGCAAAATGCTTACATTAGCTCCAGCTTCCAGAAGAGCTCTGGCACAGGCCACGTGATCTCCCAGGCAGGCTTCGTGTAATGGGGTGACGTGGTCTATAGTGACTGCATTCACATTATAACCCTAGGCATGGCAAACAATTTTGAAAGGTGAGCAGAGAGTTGTAGAAAAATCATCTCTCTAAATGTCATTAGAGAATGCTACATTTTAAATATTAAAGAATCTCAGGCAAATCAGTTTCCGGTTTAGTAGGCATGGCCAATTTGAATGCCATGGAGTCAATCAGTTGCCAAAACGCCTTAGCTCTTCTCTTCTAGTTATTTATGATGTGAATTACAGGGATTGTGAACTAAAGTCACTCCACTGTGATCTAGAGCACTAGAACTCACCTATGTTCTGTGCCTATTATACAATCTCCCTCTATTTTCCCTCTCCCTAACCTTTTCTGTCTCTAGTAATCACTATTCTATATTCAGATTGAGGTTTAGCTTTTTTACATTCAGTATTTGTCTTTCTGTGTCTGACTTATTTCTCTTAATATAATGTCCTCCAGTCCCTCCACTCTATTACAACTGACAAGATATCATTCTTTTTATAATCCAATAATATCCCAATGTACCACATCTTCTTTCTCCATTCGTTTATTAATGGGCTTCTAGGTTGATTCTGTATCTTTGCTACTGTGAAAAGTGCTGCAATAAACATGAAAGTGTAGACATTTCTTTGATATGCTGATTTCATTTCCTTTGGAGCAGGAAGTTTCCAAATATAGAGTAATGATAAAGAGATGGAATATTAATTACTCCTGATTTAATCAGTATACAGTATATGCATGAATTAAAATTTCACACTGTACTCCATAAATATGCATGATTATTGTTATTCAGAAATTGTTTAAAATATTTAAGGAAACGAAAACACTACCTTGATTTGCTTATTATATACTGTATACATATATTGAATTATCAAACTGTAGCCCATAAATATGTACAATTAAAAATTTTTAAAAAATCTTCTTAGCCACAATGTTGTAGTACCATCATGCCTTGAGATAATAATACCTTAAACATTTTGTTCGATTCTGGTATTTTTTAAAATTTTACTCTCTTAACTGTTTGGGGGGTGGTTTTTATTTTGTTTGGATTTTTTGTGTGTGAAATTAAAGACTATTGATAAGCTGGATCACTTGTTTTTTTTTTTTAAGAGAGAGAGAGAGAATTTTCTTTTAATATTTATTTTTAGTTTTCGGCAGACACAACATCTTTGTTTGTATGTGGTGCTGAGGATCGAACCCGGGCCGCACGCATGCCAGGTGAGCATGCTACCACTTGAGCCACATCCCCAGCCCAAAGGATCACTTGTTTTGATTAGGGCTATAAAATTATATGTCAGTCCAGACCGGGGGGAAAAATACTGTAAAATTTAATAAATTGCTTTGTGAATTTCTATCACTAGAAAGATATGGCTAAAATACAGACTAGGATTAAGAACTGTGACTATAAAGCCAGTTAGACAGTTTAAAACCTAGCTCCATTAAGCAGTAACTTTGCAATTTGGACAAATACCTTATCTTTTCAAGTTTAGGGTTATCATGAGAATTAAATGAGGTAATGCCTCTGGGCACAGTGGTGCAAGCCTGTAATCCCAGTGGCTAGGGAGGCTGAGGTAGGAGGATCTCGAGTTCAAAGCCAGACTCAGCAACAGCGAGGTGCTAAGCAACTCAGTAAGACCCTGTCTCTAAATAAAATACAAAATAGGGCTGGGGATATGGCTCAGTAGTCGAGTGCCCCTGAGTTCAATCCCTGGTATGCCCCCCACAAAAATGAAGTGATGTTTGCAAAGCAATTATTATTATAGCACTCAGTGTATAGGAAATATTAGATTTTATTATTTATTTTAAATATTAGAATTTATTTTTCAGTCAATACTAAATACTTTTTAATTTTAGCTCCATTAAACTGACATTATAAGACTAAAATAGTTAAATATTAGGGCATGAGATCCTTTGCCATCTTGATGTCACTAAGTAATTCATTATCTATTGACACTAAGACTAAGCACTACTATTTAAGGAAGAATTTCAAGACAAATACTCCTAACATATTACAGATTGCCAATATTCTATAACTAGAGATTACTAATCTTTAATACCAGAATGGACACGAAGCATCATAAAATGAAGGCATAGAGAATAACACCAAATCTTTGTCGTTATTGAGTGGGAATTTTTAAGATCCTTTAATTATCCCTGCAAAAATTTCAAGTTGCTAGCCAGCAGATTTGGAGAGCTGCCCTAGAGTGCTGTAGAGTGGCCAGATGACACAAGCAATTGAGAAGGTCGAGGTTCCCTTCCACATGGTGCTCTGGGGCAGCCTCTCTTTCTTCTTGGCTGGCCTGCCTGTGGATAGGAGATACAAGTTGAGAAATACCTTAGGACCGCCCTCTTCTCAGAGAACTGCGTGACACTCTGAGGGATTACCATTTGGAATTACTGACCTTTTGATAGGGCATTTTTTCCCTCTCATCAAGTGATAAGCAAAACAAAATAGTCACATGGTTGTCACAGAACTGGCTGGCACCAAGGGAGCGTCTCACGCATATCTTCATTTTGCAGATGTGAAAATGGAGCTCAGATAGACAGTGGGTCAGCTCTAGTGCCACCCCAGAATGCAGGTCTCCTGAGCCCCAGGCAGTGCCGTTTAAACTGGGCCACAGGACTCTTCCTTTCTCAGCCAGTCCTTGTCCTTTGACACTGGGAAACACTAGTACAGTGACTCCTAGAACTGGGTGTATATTTAAATCTGAATGGAATCTTAAAAAATAAATGCACAGGCCCATGCCACATACTCTGTTTCAAGAAGGAATATGTTTTTCACTTTTCCTCTGGTGAGTCTGATGAGCTGGCAGGTGTAGAAATGAGCATTCTGTGCCTCCGTAGACAACTCCCCACATTAGATTACCATGTCACAAAAAGATTGTTTCAGAATCTAGTCTAATCACCCTTTGTGGTTATTATGTGACTAAGTCTCCAATTAGCTATACACATTAGACAGAGGTAAGCATATTTAGAATAATTAATAAATAGCCGGGAGCTGGGGATGTGGCTCAGAGATACAGCACTCGCTTGGCATGTGATTCTCAGCACCACATAAAAATTAAAAAATAAAAGATATTGTGTCTGCCTGTAACTAAAAAATAAATATTAAAAATAAATAAATAAATAGCTGGGCGTAGTGGTGCAAGCTGGTATTCCCAGGAGGCTGAGATAGGAGGATCGAAAGTTCAAAGCCAGCCCCAGCAAAAGTGAGGTGCTAAGCAATTCAGTGAGACCAAGTCTCTAAATAAAATACAAAATAGTGCTGGGATGTGGCTCAGTGCTCAAGTGCTCCTGAGTTCAATTCTCAGTACCTCCTCCAAAAAAAGAATAATTAATAATACATACAATTATTTATTGCTTAAATTTCTATCAATGAATAAATATATACTGTATGAAAATTTTAAAATGCCAAAACAAATGATTATACCAAAATATTTATAAAGTAATTTCAAAGATAAATTAGAAACTATTTACTAGCCTGACACCAGTTAAAAAGGTAGTAAATTTAAGCAATTTTAGTAGTTTTGAATTGATTTGTTTTGACAGTGTTTATGCTGATGGGAAGGGGGCATGTCTAAGCTATATGTAATATTTTACCTGTGATAATAATGTTCTCAGAGCAAGAAGACGACCTTGACTTGCAGCTTCATGTAGTGGTGATCGATCTGCCCAGGAACCTGTCAAAAAGAAAGAAAACCAAAATTAGTGAGTCAAAGCAAAGCCTAATACGCTCAATCAATTCCTGTGTCATAAATTATTCACATTCAGCAGTCCATAAGGTGACCCGGATACTTATCCTACCTGGTAGGAAATTTGATTTTTACCAGAAGTATCCAAATAAGTAGTTTGCAAATCTACAGGGCCATAATGTGTGTTCTGCAATTGACCTACCTCAGACTCAACTGCACCAAAGAGGACAATGATTAGGATACCACATTGCTCACCAAAAAAATAACCTCTATATCATGATTTTTCAGACAGAACCAGATTTATTTATTTATTTATTATTTTACCAATGACAGCAGACAAAATATTCACTTCCCCACACTCCCAACCTGACATGCCCCTGAGGTACACAATATGTTGCCAAGGAGGCAAATGACTGAGCCCCAAGTATGAAATAATGGAACAGTCAAGGTGGGCCCTAAAGAGAGAGCTCACAGGCTGGGAGGGACACAGGGCCACCGCAATTGAAATGGTGTTGATAGTGGAGATCATGACTCTCCATGTGCCAGGTGTGGATGACCCCTCCACCCCACGCTTTGGTGATACCACACTCACTCATCATGAGCTCCTAAGTTTTTGACTTATATGTTTTTTTGCACCTTCGGTCTCTTCATGTGAGAAAGCCACCTTTCCTTTACCCTAGTACTTTTTGGCAGCCAGCCACTACCCAAAGACACAGCCTCCACTCCCATTTCCTCACACTGTGGCTGCACAGTTTTTGTGGTTTTTTTCTTTTTAAAATATGCCAAGTTGGTGCACAGTGAATTCACTGTAATTTAAACAAGACCAGCACCATTGGTTCGATTTACTAGACATGAGAAATAATATTAGAGGTTTCGATGTAATTAAATGAGCAGGTTATGCACGCCAGAAACAAATTTCACTCAAAGGATACTACTGGCTAATAAAGCAACATTAGCTAGAGAGAAAGTTGTCCCAACATAAGATGGTTATGGTTGGTATCTGCCTTCCTGTCTACTACCTCGTTTCCTCCCTTTTTAAATCCACAGGATGCAATAAATTAAAATACTTTTAACTGCTGATTGATTCTAGCACAATAAATAAATTCACTTAACTGGTACTCAGAAATATAAGTTTTATGAAAAGCATTTCTAATGTTTGTTTAAATAGTCTAAGTAAATTATTGGAAACACAGCTGCAGTAGAATACTGTACTTTAGAAACCGTCTCCTATCCCCACCTTTCTGTGCTTTGAAACAATCTACACATGATTCCTCCTATGATTCTATTTTATAGTCTTACCGCAGAGCTTTGCCACCACACTGTAGGTGATACTTAAATTAATTCTATTAAATAAAATGCAGGGCACATATCACAAGGTAAATGCAGCCACCAAGTGAGCTTGGTGCAGAGAGCAGAAGTTAATGCCAATCACCAATCTTTTTACGTCTAATGATACCATAGGATTTTACTAGAAATACAAATCCTAAGGGAGAGGAGGTAGAGTACAACTTCTTACCATTGATTTACCAGTAATGATCATAATAGCTAATGTTGAATAGAATTTACTGTGTTCATAGACTAAACCCTATGCACAAGTAAATTCTATACACAGTAAAATCACTATGTGTAGTATCTCATTTAGTTCTCACAATGATTTGAGGTACATAAATTACTACTTCTATTTTAAAGTGAGGAAATAAAATCTAGGAAAAAAATGAAGTAATATAGAAGTCCACATATTCTAAGCACACAGCTGATAATCCTAGCCAAAACCCTGCTCACTGATCTGGACATTGTCTGTGGGCTTATGCAGAGTGACTTACTGTAATGAAAGTAATTAGCTGCCTTCAAGGTCTTCCTGAAACAATGGTGATACACAGAAACCAGAAGTAGAAGGCTCAGCCAGTAACTTGGTGATAGTGAATTCCTGGGAACTTGGGTCTAGAAGGAGTAGGACTCAATTCTCAGGGTTTTGCAAATGCCAGAAAACTAGTATGAATCGTATTGATTAAGTATAATTTACAATGTGTAAAACTTTCTCTGTAAGAATGAAAAAGATCTTCAAAAATCTGTTGATTCACTGAGTAGAAACTTAGCTGAATACTTTTCAGTCTTATCACACACATCTAAGGATCTGAGTTATGGAGTGTCTCTTCTCTGAGTTCTTTCAGGTTTCCAGAGTGATTATTTGACAATGTTTGAATTCTTCCTTTAGCCTCAAATACTTTAAAGCTTATTTTTAAAATAACCTTAGTTTTCTTATCATTCTGAAAATTCTGGAGTGCATATAAGAAAATTGTCTTCAGCCATTAGGCTTGTCTTTATCTCATGGTTATATGTGGGTCAGAGAGACCCAATCTAAGGATAAGGCACAAGCATAAAATGACCTGCCTTCCCTGACAGGAGTTGTCCTGAATGTATTTAGATTATTATTCTTTTTCTTTTTTCTTTTTAAACAATATCTGGCTGTGTTGTCCAGGCTGACCTTGAACTCCTGGGTACTATCAATATCCCTATTCAGCCTCCCAAGTAGCTGGGACTACAGGAACACATCACTGTACCCTGCTGGATCATAGTTTTCAAGTGTATGCAATTAATGAAACTAATACCTGTGACAGGTTTCTGGTTGTGATGTATTTTCTCCTTCAAAAGATACTGAAACTATAGCTATTATCAGCTGGAGACTTTAATCTTGTTCAGAAAGGGTTCCTCGTGCAATGGGTGAAAAAGTTCTGGAAATACCTTAAAGTGCTATTGGCAACCTTTGCAGTAACAGCTTCAGAGCTGAGCAAAACTAGTTTCTTCATGGATAACCTGACTAAATAAAAACAAAAGAGTATTGTTATGGTTTGGATGTGAGGTGTCCCCCAAGAGCTCATGTGTGAGACAATGCTAGAAGATCTATGAGAAATAATTGTGTTATGAGAGCCTCAATTCAATCAGTGAAGTGATCACTTAATGGGATTGACTAAGTGGTAACTGAAGACAGATAGGGTGTGGCTGAAGGAGATGGGTCTTTGGGGGCGTGCCTTTGGGGTACACATTTTGTATCTGGCGAGTGGAGATCTCTCCCTCTCTCTGCTGCCTAATCATCATGTGAGCCATTTCCCTCCACCACACTCTTGTGCCATGATGTTCTGCCTTACCTCAAGCCCTGAGAAATGGAGACTGCTGTATATGGATTGAGACCTCTGAAACTGTCAGCCCTCAAATAAACTCTTCCTCCTCTAAAGTTATTCTTGGCAGGTCTGTCAGTCACAGCAGTGAAAAATCTGACTAAAACAAACACCTAAATCAGTCCTTGCCATGTGTCAGGATCTGCCCTAATTGCTGGTCCCAAGCTTTTTTGTTTAATACTCCCATTTTTTGTTTAATGGACCCTTAGAGGTAGGCACAATGATTATCCCTATTTTAAAGGTGAAGGAATTAAGACATGGAGAAGTTAAGTAACTCACCCAGGGTCACACAGCTTCTAGTTATGGATGTGAACTCCAAACCGTAACCTCTTAGCTCCGGAGAGGTTATATTTTAAATTATATATAATCCTGCCTCTCAAAAACCACACATGCATGCATACACAGTATGCTAAGCATTTTAGTAAATAATAATACTATAAATCTCTTTGGTATTTTTATTGGTCTATTTTTTCCTTCTAATACCCACTAATCTAAACAGCAATTTTATTTTATTCTTAGTAAAGGTAGGCCATTGCTGTAATAAGATGAAGTTTACTGAGATAGATACTACAACAGCAATAGAGGAAATTTTTTACATTTTTTTGAGAAAAAAAAGTCATTAGTTTCATGGGATTCAAATTAAAGGTATCTTTTATCATATTTGATATGTTTCTTATTCAGGAAGCTTCAATTATGTTCTCAGTCTTTATTAATCATCTCTTAAAACTTTTAAATATGGCCTGGTTCACCATACTCCTTTTCACTATATTTTTTCCACATTCCAATTTCAGGATAAAAAAGCATCAATGAAAATTAAGTGGTATCAAGTCTTTATAAAAAGAAATAAAAAGCAAATTCCTAAGTATACCCCAGAAAGGGTACAACTCCCACAGAGTTTCATACACACGTTTATCTTGAGTGCCAAAGTAAGTGTAAAATTTGACTAAAGTGTAAAACTTAATATACTATAAGTCTCAAAGGAATACTGAATTATATTTTTTTCTGCTTATAATTAGATACATACTTAAAAGTGTCCGCCTAGCATTATTACTTGCTTATCTAGATAAATTAGTAAGCCAGATACTGATTTGAGTCTTCAATTGCAATAGGAATTACCAGTATTAATTTTTGTATAATTTTTATTTGCAGTGTATAATAGTGCTGTCTTATATTCAAAGCAGAATTATAATCATGCACACCATTAAATAAATATTTGTTGACAGGATGAAATTTGGGGGCAAATAAATAATTTATAAAAATTGGAATATTATGTTCTCACTAAATAAAATGTAAAATACATCATCATAAATAATGTTCTTTGGGGGAATGACCATGTTTTGAGTTCCAGCTTCTAAGATGAAATCTGATGTTTACATATCATGCACATTTATTTTATCATTAAAAATCTTGATTTCAGAGAGAAAATATAAAGAACTGTAGAATATATAACCATTTTCATTGTGAATATTTAAGCAAGGAAATGAGAATTATAATACTAACTTTCCAAATACATTAAATTTGAGAAACCACTAGGTTCAGTTTAATCAGCAGAGCAATAGAAAATTAATAAAAATTTAAATAACCAATGCTTAAATATATGTTTTAAATTAAGTAATCACTTGCAACATTTGTAATGATCAGGTTTTCCCTTCCTGCATGATGACTTAATAAAGTTTATCACCTTTATCTCTAAAAACTATATGCAGAATATACAACACTGAGTTATTGTCACTGCTGTTATTTCACTGTCACCAGCTAACGTGATAACTAGCCAGAGGTAGGGATTGGCAGAAGCCAACAGAAATGGACTTT